CACTCATTTCTGTTGATGTCACCACAATGTTGTGGTCATACATCTTTGACACCTAGGAGTCAGTCCAGCCTTTTCTCTGTTCTGCATTCCCTTTATCAAGCCAGTTGTCCAGTTTTGTCAAATCTACCTTCCAAACAGGTAGTTTTCACCTCTGACCTAGACTATCTAGTCTCCCTCCTCTCCAATCTATCTTCCCTACATCTGCCAAACAAATCTTTCAAAAGTTGAGGTCTGATTATATCATTGTCTCAGCTCAAGAATTTTCAATGACTCCCTATTACCATGAGGATAAAATTCAGGCTCCTCATTTAACGTCTCCTCCCTCCCTCCCTGCCAAACAGTCTGGCTCCCTCCTTTCCGGGATTGTTGCACATTGTTTCCCTTTATGTACTGCATGTTCTAGCCCCGCCGGTCTTCTTCCAGTCCTCTGAACTTGGGAATAAACACATTTCCTGTTTCACGGCCCAGGTGGCCCTTCATGCCCGAGATACTGTCCCTCCTCAGCTCCACCTCTGATGATGCTGAGCTTCCTTCAAAGCTCATCTCAGGTCCTCCCTCCCTTGAGGAGGCTTTCCTGATACCCACTGTTAATGCTGGTTTCCCTCTGCTAATGAATCTAGATTTATTTATTTATTCATGCATATGTTGTATTCTCCCCAGTATCATGTAAATTTAGTGAAGGCAGGACTGTTTTCCCCCCTTTTTTGGAGGGGATGTCTTTGTATCTCAAGCACTTAGCTTAGTGCCTGGAACAGAGCAGGTGCTTAATAAATACTCCTTAGACTGTGTCAAAGTTACCGATATGTCAAAACAAAATGTCTAAAACTTTAAAAAATCCATTGAGGTTTGATCGTACCATAAGTCCAGTAGGAGGCAGCAGGACGACAACAGGACCGTAGGTGATAAGATCTCTCTCTCTCTTTTTTTTTTTTTTGGCTAGGCAATGAGGTTAAATGACTTGCCCAGGGTCACACAGCTAGTAAGTGTCATGTGTGAGGCCAGATTTGAAGGTGATACAGCAGCATGAGGATAGCCAAAGTATCTAGCCCGAGGATGACGAGAGCTTCACTGCCCTGGTCACACCCCATTGAGAGTATCACACTCAGTTCTGTCTATCTCATTTGAGGAAGAGAGTGTTCAGAATGGTTAATGGATGGAGACCTGCTTTGTGAGATCACTTAGCAAGGACACACACAATCAATCCATCAGCCAACATTTCTGAAGCACCTACACTAGGCCAAGCACTGGACAAAGGCAATGAATGAAACATTTCTACTCTCAAGGAGCTTCCATTCTACTGACATAACTGTCTTCAGGTTCCTGAAGGGAAATTATGGAGACAGGAGATTTGAATTGTTCTGTGTGGTGCTGCAGTAGAGGAGAATAATAATAATAATAATACTTCATATTACACGTATCATAACTATGCAGGTCACACACACATGTATGTACAGCATTTTAGCACTTCACATACATTCTCTCATTTGACCCTCACAACAACTCTGAGATTTAGGTTTAATATAAGGAAAAATTCTTAGAGCTATCCAATGGGAAAATTGGCTCTTTGTATGATGGTGAGTTCTTCATCACTAGAGGAAGGCAGGCAGAGGTTGGATGGTCACGTTTAGGAGGAGGCTGTGGAGGAAATTCCTGTCTAGAGCTAGGTTGGCATAGATGGCCTCAGTCCTTTTTAATTCCATGGGTCTGTGCTGTGCTTTTACCACTGTATTCCAGCTATCTAAAGTCCCTAATGATGATGAGTGTGCATTTGCTTCCCCTGTGTTCAGATCCCCAGGTCACTTTGCTTATTGCCTGTACTCTGTGCTTTCATAGCTATCGGGGACGATGATTATTATGGTTGGTCCTCTGCCTGTATATTGTCTCCTGCGACTTCGTGGTCCCCTCTGTTGCTAATCTCTCTCCTAGGCAGCATTTGCTCCTGTCCATGGTATCTGGCTTAGTAGTTATTGAGTGGTCTGTTTGTCCCTTTCCCTTCCACTTGCCCTTTTAGGACCTCTTGATCAGGCAAGTCTCCAGGAAAATGTATTCTCCTTGGCCCTGATACATTCTTTTCTGCTGCAACTAAGAATCCATCAATCCTGAGTCTTTAAGACTTGGTCAAGAAAGGAAAATCCTGTTGTCCAACTCTATCTCCTTCACCAGATGCTCACTGCCCACATCCTGCTTCTCCATCTAACCTTCCTTCAACCATGACTTGAAATGTCTTCTGTGCTTGAAATGACTTCTGCTTTTTGCCCAGCACATGGCTATCCCTATCAACAGCTTATGGATTGTTTCAGATGATGTCATTTGTCTCACAAATAGGTAACGGTCATCAGGCTTGACAAGTGTCAGGAGGCACTCCATCACATCCTAGACACTCATCCTAGGAAGGGAACATGCCTACCCACTGTTCACCTAAGGCTTACCTCTGCATGCCTCAGTGTGGAGCTACCAAACACTCTGGCTGAGCTCCTCTTCCTCTGACCAGTCCTTGGTACTAGTGGCACCTCAAGAACCTCCATATTAGCCTGCAGAACACAGGGAGTTGCCTTCACTCCCTCATTAGGTCTTGGGTCTCAGAATCGCCACTAGTTATTTAATCTCTCTCTCTAATTAAGTACATTGTCTTACAGGCAAGCATTAATCAAGAATCACACAATAGTAAAAAGAAAATCCAATGCCTTTTTTTTGATAGAAAGAGAATAGGTTCCAATTCACTTGCTTTTAATAATTAAGAATAGAGCACAGAACTTTACTAAGTGAATTCAGCAAATAAAAATGGGCTCTATATTCATGTTATATCTAGTTAAGGCAGGAACAGATACATGATATGGGGGGAGAGAGAAGCTGAAGATGGAGAATGGATTGAATGGCTGCCATCTTCCGCTCAAAATGGCTAGAGCAGGCTCCCCATCCCTGGGCTAAGGTAAAGCAGCACCTTCTCCTTTCACAGATGACATTTATATTAATAGCCAGCATTTATATAGGTAGACTTCTCATTTTATCCTCACAATAACCCTAGGAACTAGATGCTATTATTATCTCCACTTTATTGATGAGAAAACTGAGGCAAACAGAGGTTAAGCAACTTGCCCAGCAGCACCCAGATAGTAAGTGTCTGAAACTAGATTTGGGGGCAGCTAGGTGGTGCAGTGGGGCAGCTAGGCGGCGCAGTGGATAGAGCACTGGACCTAAAGTCAGGAGGACCTGAGTTCAAATCTGACCTCAGACCAAACGGTTGATACTTACTAGCTGTATGACCCTGGGCAAGTCACTTAACCCCAATTGCCTAAAAAAAAAAAAAGAAAAAAAGAAAAAGAAAAAAAGAAACTAGATTTGAACTTAGGTCTTCCTGATTCCAAGTTAGGTGCTCTATCCACTGAGCCACTTGGCATCATATCACCCTCTCCCTTCTCTCTTCTCACCCAAAGACCTTTGAAATTCTTCTGCTGACTCCAATCTTCCCTCATTCATCTTTTTAGTAGTGCTAGTTGTGAATTATGTAATTGGAATGGGCTTCCTAAAGGACCCACTCAGCTCAGCCCGCTGATAACCTGGGAGTCTTTTCCTTCCACTATGTTCCTATAAGTAATTGCCATATCCAAATGTTCAAATTTGCTTGTTTTTGTCCAACATGTCAAAAAGGCACAGAGGAAAAAAGGCCATATCCTTCTCTAAAAAGTCTTGGTGGAAGTGAGAATAGTCAGCCTACTTAGTAAATGACCTTATGAGAATACATGCAAAGAATGCCAATTCACCTCATACTTGCAGAAGGCTTGCTAAATAGGAAAGAGTTTTTCTTTAGCTAGGGCAATGGGAACAAGGACTTAAGGAATATGGCACCACTTTAGGCTATGTTCTCAAATGTCCATAAAGGACAAAGATGTGGAGAATGTGGTGTGACAAAATCGTCCAGTTGTCCATTAACTAGGTACAGCCAAGAATGAACAATATGGAAACTGAACTGTGGTTTATTCACTCAGAGTGAGTCACCACCAGAAGCTGATGGATATGTGTGTGTCACAATTCGGCAGATTACTATTATACTATTCTCTTAGTCAAGCCTATCTGAGAGAGGAAGATAAAACATGGAACATTCTTCTTGATTCTGTGTGTGTGTGTGGGGGGGAGGCAGGGTAGATGAAAAGAAGAAAACAAGCATTTTAAAAGTGCTTACTATGTTCCAGGCAATGTGCTAAGCACTTTATAAATATCTTATTTGATTCTCATGAGAACCCTAAGAGATTAGTGCTATTATCCTCATTTTACAGTTGAGGAAACTGAGGTGAACAGATTTTAAGTAATTTGCCCATGGTCGCATAGGTAGTGAGTGTCTAAGGCCAGGTTTGACTCCAGCCCAGTGCTCTATCCCTTATGACACCGGAAGGAGGTTACTTATTACTAGTGTGCCCTTCTTAGCATATCATTCCCTCTTGTTCTTAAGGCACCATCATTCTTTGGTCAGATAAGATAAAGAGAAGGAGCATATTTCTTGGGGCCATCAAGTCCTCTTTTCACAGTCATAAAGCAAGATAATGGAGGAATTCTGCTTATTACAAACTGGCCCCACAGCTTGTGCTGGGGCAACTCAGCAAAAAAGAGCAAATAGAGAAAAAAATGGAGTTATTATGTCTATTCTCAATACATCACTCTTAGCACTGCAAAAAAAAAGTCATCTTTTAATAATGGAGGGCTGGTGGTGTGGGTTGTCTCACTCTATCCACAGGGAAGAAAGGAACCTCTTTGCTGAGGTATGGTAGAGGCAGTAGAGTTGAATATTTTGAAAGAGAACAATGTGGCAAATAGTTAAGGAATAACATCACACTCTTTCCAAAACTACTGAGGGAGAGCAGGAGCCAGTGTGTGCAGAAAGAGAAGCTGTGGGCAGGTAATGCCTAGAACATAAGTTTCAGCTTTTCCTGACAGTGATCAGGCATGGTAGGTAACATTCAATAGGAATTTTGAAAGAGGTGAGAAGAAAAGGGAAAGGCATCAAATTGTGCTTTGATGTTGATATTTATTTAAATCTTGCTCCAAATTGTATTCCCCCTTAAATTTTATTGGAAAATTCATAATTAGTGCTTGTATTAATATCTCAGTCAAAAGTTTATTTTAATAAGGAATGTTGAAGACCTCAAGGTTGTGCTTTTATCTAACCTCTCATGATTGTGAGGATTGACCGGATTGAGAGGAATGACAACGAACCCACTTGTTTGACCTGTATTCCATAAGCCAAAGCATCACCATTCAGGCAGGGGTAGATGTTGGGATTCTCTACATAGAGATTTCAGAAGAAATAACCGACCCTTAGGAATTCCAGGGAGACATGAAAATTATTACCTCATCTTGCTGCACAGAGAAGAGTCTGGCTGGGATATCTGAGCCACTGGCCAGTGACCCCCCCAATCTTGATACATGCTCTGTATCCAGTGAAGTGGCCTGAGCTTGAGATTGTGCAGAAAGGATACATGCTGGATGTACGGCCCTGCTCATGAGTCAGAGTAATCTTTGAATAGCAGTTTTAAGGATTAATGGTCAATGGGCCATAGGGGTGACTGAAAGACCACAAAGTCACTCTGACGTCCATGCATTCACTTGTGGGGAGTGTTATGTTGAGAGCCAGGACAGTTACAACATTCTGGCCAGGGGGAACAGCCTGCTCGGCAGCAAAGTTCCAGAGTTGGGTCCAGGCCTTTGGCAATCTGACTTGATGTAAAAGTTATGGCAGCATCAAACTGGGCCTTGAGTAGCCTCATCTCCTTCAGGGTTTCAATGGTTTTTTTAATCTCCTCCTTGGGACCGTGGCTCAGGAGTTCATAGTTCTCACCAGGGTCTGTCTCCAGGTCATACAACAGTGGAGGCTCATGGGGAGTCAGTGGGGTGAGGGCTTGGCAGGCTGGGTCAGCAACCATATCACTGTGTGTAGAACCTAGATAGTGATGAGGGTAGGGAACAGAGGAGGAAATCCTGGAGTGGTATGGGGGTAGAATCATAAAAGGTACAGGGCACAACCAAAGGTAGACTCCAGGGAGGGATCCAGGGGACTTGGTCAGCTGGGCCTGGAAGAGGACAGGGATATGGGAGGGTGGGGGCCCCTGGGAAAAGCAGGGAAGATGGGACAATGAGGGACCCAGGCAATCCACCCCCATCAGTGGCTCTGTCCCTGAGTGCCAGAAACTCTTTGAGTCTTGAATTTTGGGGGTGGGGCAGGTGCCTCAAGTTGTTGTGAGTCGCTAGAATTACCCTGGGTGAAGAAATGTGCCTTGTACTTCCCATGCCGGATAGCAAAGACACCTTGGGTCTCATCAGGGAATGGGGGGTAGAAGTAGAGAGTCTTCCGTGGGCTCTGGAGACACAGGGACATAGAGGTCAAGGGATCTGGGGCTTGGAGACTAGCAAGGAAGAACACCCAGGGTCCCAGCACTCTTACCTTGCCTGTGCCCAGGAGAATGGGGCTCAGGTCCACCCCATCGAGGGTGACATTGGGTAGCTGGGCTCTTGCCAGAGCGGCTACAGTGGGCAGCAGGTCCAGGACACTGGCTAGCTCATGGGAGACCCCTGTGTGGAGGAGCCAATCAGGACAGCCTCCAGCAGGGGGCACCTCTCACAGGGCCTGCCAGGGTGGTAAATGAAATGCCTTTTCTCTCTTCTCTGCTGAGCCTCTTTCCCTTCATGGAGGCATGGGGTGGGATTGGGGGAGGTTGACATCTGGAGGCCATGGACAATCAATGTCCTTAGAAGAGGCAGCATGTGCCTTGGAGTCAAAGGATCTGGGTTCAAATGCTGACTTCAGCCCTACTAGCTGTGTGACCTGGGGCCAGTCCCTCCCCAATCTGAGCCTTGGGATTCTCACCTGTAAAATGGGGATGTGACCCCATGCTGCCTCCTTCCTTAGGACTGTCGTAAGCTTTTAACAGCCCTGCTCAGTCCTCCATGTACATTTTAGGAGGAGTCAGGAGGCAGAGTCTTCTTCCTTTCCCTCCCCTCCCTCCAGCTAAGTGACACATAGGCCAGATCTTGACATATGAGAGGTTGAGAGGGGGAGGGGAAGATTAAAGAGGCTGTGGAATGGTCTACTTCAGGAGGTAGTGAGCTCCCTGTCGTGGGAGGTGGTTGAGCTAAGGCCGGAGGTTGTAGAAGGGTTCAGGATCAGATTAGAATAGATGATCTCCAGAAACCCATGTGAGCGGGAGGGGATTGGTGGTGGGCAAAACTGGAAGGGTCAACTTCCAATAGAATGGACCCAAGATATGGGAGTCAGGAGGGTCTCATGGAGGAGCCAGGGCTCAAGATTTGGGTGTCAGTCTACCCTTATTCCCTGGGTTGTTTCTACCCAAGGGTCAGCCTGGAGAACTTGCTGGTCAGAGACTGACCTGGCATAATGTGGCCTGGCCAGAAGGCCAGAGCAGGTTCTCGAACACCACCCTCATAGGTTGTCCCCTTTCCACACCGGAGAAGGCCAGAGGAGCCACCCCGGAACATGCGCATGGTCTCAGGGCTATAAAGATAGGCACAAACATGGAGGGGGGGTGGTGTGAGAGCAAGAGAGACACCATCATGACAATGACAAATGTCTACCTGACCACCTTCCCAGCCCCTGTACCCATTATCCGCTGTGAAAAGGACCAGAGTTTCTTCGATTAGTCCAAGGCTCTCCACAGTATTCAGTAGTACCCCCACAGCTGAGTCCAGCTCCATTAAGGCATCCCCAAATGGTCCCCGGCCAGAGCGCCCCACAAAGGTTTTCCCACTGAACTGGGGGTAGTGGGTATGCTGCGGGCAGAAACAGGGTCACAGCCAGGTGTGCATGTGAAAGAAACAGCTGTATCTCTGCTTTGTCTCTGGGGCAAGGATTTGGGCAATCTCCTCCCTCCCTCCCCCAGCCCAGCAAAGGTTGGGGGTAAGGAAAGATCAGCTCAGTGTCATAGGGCAGGGCCTGGGATGATGTGAAGTCACTCACATGGGAGGCATAGTACAGAAAAAAAGGCCGGCCTTGGCGGGCAGCATCCACCATGAGGTTCTGGGCAAAGGCCACATACTGTTTCTCCAACCCAGGCAGCCAGGGGGGCTGTTCCTTCACTGACAGGTTAGCCATAAGTGGAATGGGGACGACGCCCTGGTCACAGCCTCCAAAGCAGAGGGTGGCTGGTGGGAAGCAGGTCAGGTTCTGGCAAGGGCCCTGTGGTGGCACAGGGCAAAGGGATGAGGGGGAGAGTGGGTAGGATTCTTTACCACATGGCCCCAGCTCCTGCCCATTTACTTCTAGCCCTGATCCACTGCCCCTTCAGTCCCCAATCTCCACAGTTCTATCCTGGATTCTTTGTCCACTTACTTCAGTCTCAATTTGCTCCCTCCCTAGGACCTCCCATCCCCTTGACTTATCAATCTGCCCACTGGTCCCAGCCCCTGACCCCACACCTGATCGTGGGAGTAGGGAATTCCTAGGAAGCGGTGAAATCCCTGATGTGGGGGCAAGAAGGAGCCATTGGGCCCCACACCCAGATGCCACTTGCCGGCCATCCCAGTGAGGTAGCCCTTCTCAGCCAGGACCTCAGCCATGGTCACCTCATCCAGGGGGAGCCCACCCCGGGAGCCAGGGTATAGGACACCTGGGTAGAGCCCTGAACGTACAGGGTACCGTCCAGTCAACAGTGCTGCCCTAGAAGGAATGAATAGGGATTAGAGAATCCTTGGGGGGGGGGTCTCTGGAGAGAGAAGATCTCCACAGAGAGAAAAAGGATCAGAGAAAGTTGTGTGTCTGTGGGTGGGAGTGGGCAGAGAGAGGAAGAAAGAAGATGCAATTAGGAGTTCTGGGGGAAGGGAGGCTTGCTGGGAGTGAGGTACAGAAGTTAACGGAAGTGCAACTGGGGTTAGATGGTGGGGAAGGCACAGTTGGTGGGTCAGCTGAGGGTTGAAGAAGTGAGGTTCAAAAGGCAGGATCCTGGGGTTCATCAGCCTCACCTAGACGGGGTACATAGTGGGACAGGCACATAGAAGTCAGTGAAGCGGAGGCCACCGGCTGCCATTCGGTCGAGGTTGGGTGTGGATGAGCTGGGGTGGCCATAGCTGCCCAGGTCCCCATAGCCCAGGTCATCCGCAAAGATCAGAATGATGTTGGGGGGTCTGGCAATGGCTAGGCTGATGGCCAAGGCCAGGATCAAGGGCCACAAAATGGCCATTGTGCCTTCTGCCTACTGACCAGCAGTCTGAAAGATCTGTCAGGAAAACCTACACATGAATCCTGGAGCCTTCTCAGCACCCATCTGAGATACTCCTCAAAACTCAGACCTGACTGCATTCCCACCCCCTAAAGTTCCAGGGGCCCTGGATCTAATCATTGCTAAAATTTTAGGGTTCAGAACTGGAGAGGATTTGGGGGATTGTTTCATCAAAGCCCTTGATCTTACAACTGGGAAACGGAGGCCCAGAGAGGTTAAAGTGATTTGCCCAGAGTTATAAAGGCAACCGAAGTAGCAGAGCAGGACCAAAACCCAGGTCCCCTGACCAAATCTTTGGGCAAGAGTTCAGACTTGATCTGCCTGACCCCCCCGGGCAGAACTGGAGGACAGTGGCCTGGAGGTAGACTTGGAACACCGAGAAAAGGAAGAGAGCTGTCCAACAGCTGGGTGACCTGACTCAGGGAATGGTCGGCTCCTCCAAGCCGAAATGGACCCACCATTTGTTGGGAATGTTGGAAGGAAGATTCCTGGGACTCTGCGGGTTAGAGCAGAAAACTTCTAGGTCCTGGACGCCCCGACACCCCTGGCTGCCCCCGGGCTCCCTGCCTTGCATGGGGGCCCACACTGACCTAGGAGTAGTGCCGCGCCTGCAGTGACCAGTACGAACCCCGGCGGCTGCTTGGCGCTGTCCGCTCTGCTGCTGCCTGTCTGGCCCCGGGCTGGAGGGGAGCGAGGGGGCGGGGACGGAGAGAGTGGGAGGGAGGACTCCTGGGGCCACCACAGCCTCAGTTGGGCAGGGAGGCGTCCCTGCCGCCTCCACCTCCCCAGGGATACTTCCGCCTTACTCGGTCCCCACCCCCATTCCCACCCCCACCTCCAGCGCGAGATACCCGTGACTGAGCCAGGAGCGGAGCATCTTGGGAAGAGGAGGGGCAGCCTGTTGAGGTTGGGGAGACTGGTCCCACTGTAGGGGGACCGCCGGAACTTCAGTCTGGGAGGGGACCGGGTAGGTACCCAGGGAGGAGTCAGGCACGGCCAAGGCGTGGTCATTTGTGCTTCGCGGAAGCTGAGGGCCGGACACCCCCTCCAGGAGGTCGGACCTGGGATGTCACGATGCACCAGACTCTGTCCCACTGTGCCCCACCCCCAGTTACCCGAGCTTGTGCCCGCCTCTGCCTGCTCTGGCCTGACATGGTTTGTCCCGCCTCGGGCCCCTCACCCTGATCCCCATCCCCACCCCGCACTGGGCTGCGCGCGGAAAATGCCAGGAAGTAGCCGCTGCTAAAGAGGCCCGAGCTGAGGCCCCGAGGGGCGGGGGCGTATCGAGTGCCGTTGGATGTCCTGCTGAGATTTCCTTCCCGGTCAGCCAGCAGCCTCCTCTAGGAAAACCGCAAAGAACGCAAAGGACGAGAGCTCTGTACTTTCGGAGGCAGCCCATCCATTCCACTTGGGAGAGCTCTCATTTTTAGGACGTTTTCCCTGACGTGAGGCCTAAACCCGCATCTTTGCAGTGTATCCCACCGCTCCTGGTTCAGCCCAATTGGGCCGAGCCAAGCACGACTCATCCCTCTTCCCGATGACTCCTCCCTCCTGTTGTCCCTGAGCCTTCTCCAGGCTAAATGTTCTCGTGCCCTTCTCCATCTGCTCACTCTTCTGGTTGCCCTCTAGCAGACGCGCTCCAATTTGTCAACGTCCTTTCTAAAATGTGCATAGAGCGGAACAGCAGTGCTCTAGAACTTGAGAATCTTAGAGATGGGAAAGGCCGGGGGAAGTCATCTCCTCCAGTCCCCGGCCTCACGCAGGAATTTTCTTGACAGCCTCCCCAGGCTATTTTATTCATCTCTGTGCTGATGATTATCATCCAGGCGTCCTGGTCTTGCCAAATCTCTGGGGGATGATCTCCCAAAATGTCCTCCTCACCTTTGCCCAGCACCTTGGGGGACACATGCCAACCCTTCACTTTAATTCCTAGGGTCCATCTTAGGGGTTTCAGCACTATCTGGTTCTCCCCTGTGTGACCTATTTGGGGGTCACTCACTGGGCTCTGCTATGGCTGTGTGAGCCTTTCTCTCCCCATAGTGGCTGCCCATTCACATTCCTGAATCTGCTGAACCCTCACACTCTCCTTGTGGGACCTCCTACCCCTGTGGGGCCTGGGGCTAACACTATTCTTGCTGTCTTCTCCAGCACGCATCAGTCGCCAGCTATGCTCACCTGCTAAGCTCATCCTCTTCCCACCTGGTCTCTGTACCCAGGTCCACAATTGCTAAGGGCTGGAGAAATTATCGCTATTATTTGTCCTGTACTTGGCATACAGATTTTTCCTGTGGGCTTCAGGCCTTGCCTGCTCCCTCTCTTGGCTTTCCATGGAATTCTGAACCCTGGGCTAGAAGGGCTATTGCCTTACTGCAGAGGTCCCCAAACTTATTTGGCCTACTGCACCCTTTAAAAAAATTATTCAGCACCCCCCTGGGAATCTACTTTCTTTAACCCTTTAATGGTCTTTTTGAAATTTGCATTGTTTCAAAAATATAATATATATATGTTTTAAATGACACATCTTAAATTTAATAATTTATTGTAAATTTGTGGGGTTTTTTCCCTGCATTGAAATTTTGATGATGCAATATTGTGTCATATAACCAAATAGTGTTGTATTGTAAACAAATCATTACATGCACATATTGCTGTGGATGCATGCTGGACTTCCTGATAACGCACGACATGCTCGCCTGCCAACACTTGCTTGTTAAGGCCTGTTGGCAGACTTGACTGCTGATTGGTTATATGCATTTTGTGTGTTTATTTGGACAATAATGTAATCACTAGGACTTTAACTCTGTTATACAACAAATGAAACATGTGCAAATGGTTTTTCAAAATTTTCTTCTCTTCTTTCCTTATGCTTCCACCACCCCCTTATTTTTATTCAACAACCTCCAATTGCACCTGAGGCTACTGCCCACCTCCATTGTTCCAGCTGGGGCCCCCCCCCTCCCTGTGGGTAGTATTGCCCACTTTGGGAACCTCTATTTGGGTCTCAGATTCCCCCTCCTGATCTCAGGCCCTCCCACAGTGATCCTCACTGGACAGAAGTCCTTACATTGTTGTATCGGTCTTAAATAGCTCTAGAAATGAGAGTTGGTGGAACAATAATTATTGTTGGTCTCAGAAAATTCTTGTGACTTTCTCCCTTGGTGCAAGCATGAGCCTTTCCTAGATCTCTCCTCTTCTGGTTGTATAAGCAAAATCTCAATTCAGTCCAATCCAACAGGACCTACTATATGCAAGGCACGATGACCCATTTCCACAGTCAGTTCTGTGTTAGTCAGTTCTGGACAGTCTGGGTCTGTTTTTTGGCCTGTTCCTATGGTCAGGTCTGTCTTGGTTGGTTAATGGGCCAACTGTGGTCAGACTTCCTTCTAGTAACTATATACTCCCACACCTTGTTTACTCAGGTTCCTAGCTAAGGTGGTCCCCATCATGCAGACTCTAGTTTTCCCATATACTCTCTTGACAGCCTTAAGAAGACTGAGCCTTCTTTTTTTTCTGAACCTGGCAGCTCCTCTTGGTCACTCTTCCTGTCAGCTGACACCATCCATTCATCTTCCCAGTTTCAGCAGCTGCTCCACCTTTCCCCTCTTTTGTTCTCAGGGGAAGTTCTGCTTCTCAGAAACCATCTGGAGAAGTGGCCACTCCTGGTAGGCCCTCCCCACTAGCCCTCACTCCTCCCCAGGCTCTTGGTGTCCAGGAAGACAATGGCCTCTTGGAATTTTGTTATCACCCAGGATTTCTTATCACCCATTGAGTCAGAAGGGTAATTAAATACCCAAAGGAGGAGGGAGTCTATCCCCAGACCCTGCATACACTTCAGCAAATCTTTGAAATCCCATCTCTAGAGAGTGTCAGCAAAATTCCAGCATCATCCTCATGCTTCCAAGGGCAATTTTTCACAACTGACCACTGCTCTCTTGCTCCCCAGCTGATCACTGAAAGCTGGAGGCACCTCCCTACTAGACCCAGTGAGCTCAGGATGACCCAGGATGTCCTACCAATGCCTAACTAGTAGGAACTAGGTGAGAGGTAGAATTGAGTTCCCATCATGGTATTCTGATCACTGGTGGATTAACCTGGCTTACACATATGTATTACATGTGTGTATTTCTGTTATGTGATGTCATTCTTCCCCAAGACACCCAAATTCAGAAACTTAATTTTTTCTTTGACTCCTCCTTTCTCTTCACCTCTCACATGCCACCAATTACCAAATCCTGTTAATTCTACATTGCAACATTTCTCACCTCCTCTCTTTCTCCCACAGTTGCTTTCATTATGCACTCACCTGGACTATTGCAAGAAGCTCCTAGCAGGTTTTTCTACCTCCGCTCTCTCTCTGAATCTATTCTAACCTTACCTGATGAATGTTTCTTATACGTAGAAAGGCAGCACAATCTAGTAACTGGCCTCAGAGTAGGGAAGACTCAGGTTCGAATCCTGCCTTTGACACATCTGGCTGGATGATCCTCTTCTGGGAGTCTTTTAACCTCTTAATCCCCCCAGACAAATCTGAGTATAAATTTCAGAAGAGCTGAAGATCTCCATTGGTAGAAAGAGTCACTTTAAAGCAAAAGGAGCTGCCCGCTCCCTCAATGAAATCACACGTTCGGGATCAAAGGCTGAAGGACAGGTCCCATATATTTCACAATATTCATAGTTAGGACCTCTCCCACTAATCTGCCATCTTTCCTTATCTACTCATTTTTTCTGTTCTGCCTACAAACATGTCCAAGATTTTTCCATCCTTAAAAACCTCTCACTCCATCTTAGCCCTTCAAGCTATTGTCCTGTATCTCTCTTTCCTTTCTCAGCCCAATTTGAAAAAGTTGGTTATCCGCTTTGCCTTACTTCTCTTCACTCATTCCTCAGCTCTTGGCACTCTGGCTTCAAATGTAATCACATAATGGAAGCTGCTCTCTCCAAAGTCACCACTGATCTTTCAGTTACCAAACTGAACGGTCTTTTCTTAATCCCCACCCTTTATAATGTCTCTGTAGCATTTAACCCCATTAATCACCCTCTCCTCCTTCTCCATACACTCCCCTCTCTGGATTTTCAGAGACCAGCTAAGTAGTGAAGTGGACAGAGTGCTGGACCTGGAGTCAGGAAGACCCAAGCTCAGATCTGGCCTCAGAAGCTTACCAGCTGTGTGACCCTGGGCAAATCACTTAATCTCTGTCTGCCTTCATTTCCTCAACTATAAAATGGGGATAACAACAGCACTTACTTCCCGGTGTTGTCGGGAGGATCAGATGAAGTAATAGTATAAAGGTGCTTGCCATATTGTAGGTGCTTAATAAATACTTATTCCTGCTTCCTCCCTCCTTTTCTTGGTTCTCCTCCTACATATGTGACCTTTCCTTTTCTGGATCACTGTCCAGGTTGTGCTTCCTAGCTGTAGGCGTAACCCAAGGTTCTGTCCTGGACTCTCTTTTCTTCTCTCTCTTCATTCTCTCTCTTGGTGAGTTCCCATGGGCTTAATTCTCATCTCCATGCAGGTGTGTAACTGCAGATATCCAGCTAACACAGCCCTAGCCTCTCTCCTGAATCGGCTGCTGCCTACTGGGTACTTTGAATCAGATAAGACTCCACATATCATGCTCAAAACTGAGCCATCTTGGGAGTAGCTGGGTGGCGCAGTGGATAGAGCACCAGCCCTGGAGTCGAGAGGACCTGAATCCAAATCTGGCCTCAGACCCATTACACTCACTAGCTGTATGACCCTGGACAAGTCACTTAACCCTAATTGCCTCACCAAAAACAAAAAAAAACCCT